GAGGCGCCGACTCGTCGACGACTCCGCCGTCGACGGCGACCGCTCCGGCTCTCTGTTCAAAAAGTTTTTGCGGTGGAAGCTGCGATGGCAAGAGCAGGCGGCGCAGTTAAATATTGCGGATGGATCGTTGCCTGGAAAGAAGAACTGGCAGCCATCTACAGTGTGGAAACCTGCAGCGAGGCATTGGTTCTTCAGGCATTCTCTGTATTCTACTGCCGCCATGAATCCTAAGACCTAAATTGCTGGAGCCTCCCTCCAATGTATATCTACTGTGTTATTTTCCTGATCATATAAGCTTTATTATCAAACTGGTTGTTGCAGTTTATGCAAATATTTACCTCTTCCCAAACATTAGAAGACAGCCTATCTATAGATAATTGCCTAAATACAATAAAGCATGAGCCCTCTCATGCAAATGTTGTCTGTATCATTCCAAATCAATGAACTTTTCAACCTATATAGTTTTACATGCTAATATATATGTGCTTTTGTTATGAAGCTGGTTCGATAAGAATCGAAGTTCTTCATGCAGCTATGCTTCCTATAGTGTAACGTTCTACAAGGTCGAACTCCATCAGGGGGCAGCACCCCCAACGGTTACTTATAAGTTTGCCCCCCCCTAAAAATTAAAGTTGATTCCGCCTCTGTCCACAAGCCGTTCAAATTTAGATTGCTATATATTCTCATGCAATAAAAATGATAGCACATTTGTGCCGAATCTGCGCAAAAGTCGACAAATTTTCTTGTAATTATCAGCGCCAATATGTATGTCAAATCTAACCCGACTCTTCTAATACACAAATTATTTGTCCACAAGCCGTTCAAATTTAGATTGCTATATATTCTCATGCAATAAAAATGATAGCACATTTGTGCCGAATCTACGTAAAAGTCGACAAATTTTCTTGTAATTATCAGCGCCAATATGTATGTCAAATCTAACCCGACTCTTCTAATACACAAATTATTGATTACATTCCATTGTGTGCGTCAAACTAGCTCGAATCTTCTAACCAGTTCCATTTAGGTTTCTCCATAGCACACTTCAAATAGTTCAAAATCTCAGTTTTCTACTGTTTTCCTCTACAGGAGACATACAGTGTTGAATGGTGCATATTAATGTTCACAAAAAAAAACATTTTTTTCTTATTGCAAGTAAGAAAGAATACAGCGAAGACCAATACAAAAGAACCACATACACAATGAAAGGTAATACTGCAAACTTTCAACTTGTATTCGCGTTATCATATTATCTACATAGTTATATGAAAATTTACCATTAATTAGTATCTCTGTGACCGTATAGGTTGAGAGTTCTTGTGAGATGGCAATGCTGAAGTCGCTGTGGTTAAGGGAACAGTTGAGAACTCAGCATCCGAGTGCTCAGAAGGCTTATACTGTTTTACAGAAGCAGAATTTGGAACCTGCGCTCTTGAAGTTCTTGCACTGTCGCTTTGTCCAACGGAATACATTTGAGAATCTTCTGAAGATTCACGTCTTTCTCTTTCTTCTGTTTCTTTGAGAAGAAAATCAACCCATAGATCTGCAAAGGACTGGCAAAACAGAAGAATGAGAAGAGAATGATATTAATGAATGGTTTCTACTTTATTGTGATTTTAGTATTCTTGATCATATCAATTATGAAGCAGCTTGACATGTTTCTCATTACAACAGAAAAAGTTGCTTTCCCTCATTACTTATCATCGCTAGTCCTAACCCCAAAGGGTCCTGTCATCTGTGTTTCGTTTGGGACGGCGTTCTTACTGCTACTTAAAACAGCTTTTTAATATAAACATTTTATTTTTTTTTGCTAGAAAGCTGCTATAAGAAACAGTAAGAAAGCCGTCCTAAACAAAACCTTAAGCACATGCAGCTCGCAATTGGGCATTCATTCAACTACATTATAACGTTGTATTCTATGAAAGTTGGAGCAGTGATTCAAAAGTTGTAAATAATTACATTCAACATGTTTCGATTATAGGAGTGCTCTCTGCAGTTAAGTTTGTAGCAAGATTTTGAGAATTGAAATGATGGAAAGAAATGCTCAAAGGTCAACCATGAGTTTATCTGTGATGATGTAAATTAAAATGAATTAAAATTAATAAATGATATAATATTTCTAATACTGATGATAAAATTGTGATAATATGTGTGCACATGTATATAAGTCCAAATCATATTACATTTCAACAATCTCTCTCTCTCTCTCTCTCTCTCTTATAATTTTTAGTCAAATCAGTTGAAACGCTCACAGATTTAGGAGCTGAATGGTCTCATTGCTAGCTTTTAGGGGTTGATACCAGTTTTATACAAATCCCATTTTTTAATCAGACCAAACTAGTTTGAGGGCTGATTCACAGTCTAACCAGTTTAATTGTCTGATCCAATCTAATTTTCACAACATGGTTTGTTGCCATTTTGATTGATGGCCTGCTAAAGAATTGGGTTTTTAAGCAATCTTCGATGGAGAGAAAATCCCTTATTAAGAATTACGATAAATTAAAAGGAAACTAGTGATTTCAATATCTTCGGTTCCAGTATACTATTCTTTCGCTTAACCCAACGCAGAAAAGTTACTTGGTTCCTTTTTATGAGACCATGATAAAAGACCAAACTAATATCAAAATAGACTAGAAGCCTAGCGGAGGCCTCCAATTACAGACAATTAACTTTAGTGGAACCTAAAAATCAATTCACAAACGATCTTTATTTAATTAAGAGAACGAAAACCCAAGAGATTAAGGCTTTGTTTGGGATGGCTTTTTTATTGCTTCTTCAAGCAACTTTTTAGTTAAAATATTTAAATTTTTGTACTAGAAAACCGCTTCAAAAAATAGGAAGGAAGCCGTCCCAAACGAAGCCTAAAATAGAAGATAAAAAGATGCACAAAACGGATAACTATGAAATCTAACCTGATTTTCAGAAGAACTAGGGGAGGTTTGAGCAGTGCTTCCGCCTAAGATTCCCCCAACTAGACGACCTGGTAAACCCAATACACCTCGAACAACACCTTTACCAGCAGAATGTTGAGCAAAGCCTATCCTCTGTTTGTCTTCATCAGAAAAACCCAGCATGCGAACCATAAGATCTAGAACCTGGAAACACCAGCTTTAACAAATCAGTCAAGCAAATTTCACAAGGCACTGCTAAATCATAGAAAAGAGTGGTTTGTGCATAGCATATATACCTCTTTACTATGATTTCTTTGAAAATATGTCACGAGCAATTTAATCACAATGCGCCTGCAAAAACAGCAGAAATGGATTCCTTTAATTCTACAAAAAAGTTTTTATCATTATCTATATATGAGTGCAAAAGCTTGAGCATCTGAAATTCATGTTCAATTTCCTCTCTTTATTTTTGAAAACTATTTAAATTGCTTTAGAATTCTAAATTAAATGTTATTTTGAGGAATCACAAGCATCATAATTCAAAAGATTCATTAATAATTTACATTTAGCTTTATGGAGCATTCATGAAACTATTCTCTTTTCGTGTTTGATAAAAGTCTAAATAATCAACTTACTTCTTTTCAAAAGGGGTGTTGAAACTCTTTTCACTAAAAAATTGTTGCAGTCCACCAAAAGAAGTATATTATTTGGCTTATTTCAGTTCTTATAAACTGCTTCATATAGCAAATTAGCAAATTGCAAAATTTTGAATTGCAAGACTTGTTCCACGTTTTGTTTGGCGTGCATCATTATGTATTGAGTTGCAACACTTATTTCTAAGTTTTGGTTATCATTAATGATTATTTGGACTAATTTAAGCACCATAGGATTCATTTTATAGAATATTCACATCATATATCATCATTATCAATTATTAGCCTTATTCCAATTATTTAGGGTCAATATTATGAATCCTCATTTTCTATTCATTCCTGTTAAGTGTTGTCTAAGATGTCAAATCTATTCTTTACAAACCATTTCAAACAACTTCTATCCATATAAGTTTAGGTCTATTGCCTTGTCCTTTCTAATCCTCTGACATCATTTAAGAAGTGCATTTTCTATCCTAAATCATGCATGTCCAAATCAGTTAAGTTCATTTCAATCTTACATAAATCTTAAATATTTGATAATAAATACTCATGCTTAATGGGGAAATCACCTAACAAATATATTAATCGTTTGCCCCTGTAATCCAACACTGCTTTTTTTCACCTTTTCTGAAATTAAATTAGGTGATTTTAAAGGAAAAATAAGAAGAAATGATTGCATCCATTATACATTCACCATGAGTTTAATCACTTAAATGGGCTCTCGCCAATACAAGGAATTAATTTGTTCATCATCTTCTCCCCATACTCATTCATGTTTGAATCGATGAAGAATGTTTTCTTCATTATATTTTGATTCCTTCTGGGTGCCTGCCAACAAAAATCCCAAATTGTATCCAAAATGGTCAGGTCGGCGTGAGCTGAGCCATGCGACAAATAAGGATAAAATTTTTAAAATATTCTAGCATTCATGCTTTGGTGTGTCATCTGAGATTCTTTTGACAACCTATGTTGTGTTGAAGAATGCATATCTATATTTTGACAACTGCTGAGGTAACAATACAACAGAGAAACTATAAAGAAATATTATTGTTTTCCGTTGTATCAAAGTCATAGATTTCTCATTAGAAATTAATAGCTATGCTAATTAAAATAATAACAATAACAAGCTTGTACCCCACTACGTGGGGTTAGCTACATAAATCTTTTTCTCCATCGTGTCCTATTAATAATCAAATTTTTATTTAAATCTAATTAAAAAATGTAATTTCTAATAATTTCTAGACAAGTCTTTTCAGTCTACCTATACATTTCTAAATATAGACTGGATCTAATACATCTACTCTTCTAATAGATCCATCAAAAGGATGAAGTTTTATGTGATCAACCCATCCAAGGCGACTCTCTTCAATCTCATCAACCACTGGGTTACTCCAACCTTCTCATTCATCTATTTGTTTCACATTCTATCTCTAAGTGTAAAGCCACTCAACACCTGAGCATCCTCATCTCTACAACATTTAATTTTATGTTTCTCTTTCAATGGCCAATATTCTACGCCATAAAGCATGGTAGGTCTCACCACCTTCTTATAAAAATTTTCCTTATGTTTGAGGTGTATTTCTTAACATAGACTGGATCTAATACATCTACTCTCCTAATAGGTTCATTAGAAAGACGAAGTTTTATGTGAGCAACCCATCTAAGACGACTCTCTCCAATCCTATCTACCACTAGGTTACTCCAACCTTTTCACATATCTATTTGTTTCACAGTCTATCTCTAAGTGTAAAGCCACTCAACCACCTGAGCATCCTCATCTCTACAACATTTAATTTTATGTTTCTCTTTTAATGGCCAGCATTCAACGCCATAAAGCATGGCAGGTCTCACCACCATATTATAAAAATTTTCCTTATGTTTGAGTGATACTTTCCTATCACACAGAAAACTTAATGCATTCCTCTACTTCAACCATCCAACTTGAATTCTACTAATAATATCCCCATCTCTTTAAGCAATAGACTTGAGGTATCTAAACGTGCACTCTTTTTAATGACTTGATCACACAATGTCACAATTCCACCATTAGATCTATTACTATTAAAATTACACTCCATGCACTCAGTTTTAGATCTACTCAAACAAAAAAACCTTTAGGCTCTAAGGTTGACCTCCACATTTCAAATTTTTCATCAACTCCCTCTCTAGTCTTATCAACAAGAAGAATATCATTAGCATAAAGCATACACCAAGATACATTCTCTTGAAAATGTCTAGTAAGAGCATTCATGATTAAAGCAAAAAAAATATGAGCTTAAAGTTGATCCTTGATGTAAACCATATGCAATAAAAAAATACTTGGTCAAACCACCTTGTGTTTAAACACAAGTAACAACTCCTGCATACATATCTTTAATGACTTTAATATAAACATTCTTCGCTCCTTTCTTTTCTATAACTCTCTAGAGCATTTCTCTTGAAACTTTATCATATGCTTTATCTAAATCAATATATCTATCATATGTAAATCCGCATTACTCTCTATATGCTTAGCCATTAAACCTCTCAACAAATGCATAGCTTCCTTAGTACACATACCGAGCATGAATCCAAACTGAGAAATCTTAGTATCACGTCATAACCTATTTTCAATTACTTTGTCCCATAATTTTAATGCATGATACATTAACTTAATTTTTCTATAATTTGCACACTCTCGTACATCACCTTTCTTCATAAAAATAAGAATCAACACACCCCTTCTCTAATCATCTGACATCTTTTAATCTTCAAAATAATATTAAAAAGTTTAGTAAGCTAACAAATTCATTAATCACCTCAGCACTTTCACACATTTATTAGAATATCATTAGATCTTACTGTTTTTTCGTGCTTTATGTTATTTAAAGCCTCACCAACTTTGGTTTTACTAATATGATGATAAAAATTAAAATTTCTATTTTTATTTAAGGTGTCAAGGCCACTAAAGTCAATCATATTCTCACAATTTTTATTGAAAAGTTTATCAAAATATCTCATATATCTATGATGAATATTATCTTCTAAGAAAAACACTTTTTGATCTTCATCCTTAATGCACTTCACTTGAATTGAATCCTTACTTCTCCCATTTTAATGAAATGGAACTAAAATGTACGAACCTGAATGACCGAGGGATCAAACTATAAGAAGTCAAAAATATTGCACTTAAATCTATCAAGACAATGGATTCAACCATAAGCTCACTGACAAGCCTTATCAGCTAATTAGTGAGCTGGACGCCATATACCATCATCATTTATTCCATAGACCCGTGGAAGAGGCAATTAACTTCCTTGATGGAATATTAAACGACAAAAATTAACATGTAAAAAGTAATCACCTGTCTACAAAATTATCTGAATCTAGTGACATTCTGTTTAATGTTGTCATACTTCGCTCCAGTGCATGGCGTAGTTTTGAGTTTTCTTCCTCTAGTTTATGCAGGGAGCCCTTGCTTTCTGACAACATTCTTTCAGTTTGTGAAAGTCTGACATTAATTTCTTCATTTTCTCTTTTAGATGTTTCCAAAGATTGGCTGGCGGCCTATAAGAAAAATAATTAATAGAAAAAATAATTAAATATTTGTTTCTAAAAAATGAAATGCAAGAATAAAATGCATCATGTTTTGCAGGCCGAAACTAATAAGATACTTGTGGGTTTGAGAGATTCGAATGTCCACGCTGAAAAGTGTAATGAAAGGTTTATAAGCTATCTTTGGTTGCAATCCAATCTGGAAGGTTTCCTTTTCAAAATTTCGAAATCGCAGCTATCTTTGGTTGCAAATTTGCAACTCAAAGAGTTAAAATAGATATTTTAGAAGTGAAATAAAGGATTGCAAGAAAAATATACATAATATACTAGTTCTATATCTGTTTAAAAAAAACTGTAAATTTTTATGTGTTTCGAATATATTCTATAGAAAGAAGTCAAGTTTAGAGACTTTGATCTTCATCTTTGATTCCATGAGATAATCATCTTGAAATAGATCATATGCAAAAAAACAGAAATAATCTATAAGAAAACTTGCTTCAAATGAGTTGAAATTTTGTTCAAAATACTAAGATATCCTTCTCATAAAAATTTTAATGGTTTAGTATATAAGTAAAGAACTAATATATAAAATTTTTCACAATAAATTATATATAACACTCAACTTCATAAATATCTATAATTTTATGTTTGATACAATAACATCAAGCACCATAAATATCAAATCATTTGATTTTGTTTCTTATTACAAGCTGCTAACTAAAATAGAAGTGAATTATAAAATAAATATCTCTTGTTTATGTTGTGCTCAAGAAAAATAAATTTAGGATTCATTTCATTGGGATTCATGGGGTTGATTATCTAAATTATTTAGAGCAAGTGCCTCCAAGCATGACAGGGAACTGTATTGGGTCTTATTGAACTAGTATTACTTGAAGCTCACATTAATTAAGAAAAAAATAGTTTGAAACTCTAGTAAAACCTCATGTTCATGTCATTATTAATGAAAACCTCTTTAGTTTATGTTGTGTCCAAGGAAAAGGAGATCTAGGGTCCAATTCATTGGGATTGACGGGGTTGACTAGCTAAAGTATTTAGAGCAAGCGCCTCCAAGCGAGCTAGGGAATTATATTGGGTCATACTGGCCTAATACTATTTGAAACTCACATTAATTAAAAAAATTCTAAAACTAAAAAAAAAAACTCATATTCAAATAACTTTTAATGGAAGTCATATTCAGATCATTGTATTGGATCCTATCAATCTAATACTACTTCAAGCTCACATTAATTTAAAAAAAAAAAAAAAAGTTTGAAACTCAAGTAAAACCTCATTCAGATTATTGTAAATGGAAAACTCTCTCACTTATGTTGTGCTCAAGGAAAATGAAGTCTAGGGTTTAATTCATTGGGAATCTTGGGGTTGACCTACTAAATTATGTATAACAGAGGACTCCCAGCGAGATAGAGAATTGTGATGGATCATATCAACATAATACTACTTGAAGCTAAAATTAATTAAGAAAAAAGCCTAAAACTCATTTTCATATCACTTTTAATGGAAGGAAGCCACATTCAGATCATCATATTGGGTCCTATCGATCTATATTTACGTAAACTCATATTAATCTAAAAAAATGTCTAAAATTCAAGTAAAAACCTCATATTCAAATCATTGTTAATGGAAGCCTCTCTGGTTTATGTTGTACTCAAGGAAAATGAAATCTAGGGTTTAATTCATAAGGATTCATGTGGCTGACGAGCTAAATTATTTATAGCAAGTGCCTCCAAGCGAGATAGGGAATTGTAGTGACACATACCAACCTAATACTACTTGAAGCACACATTAATGAAGAAAAAAAGCCTAAAACTCAAGTAAAACCTCCTACTCACATTATTGTTACTGGAAGCCATATTAAGCTCATTGTATTGGGTCATATCGACCTAATACTACATGAAACTTACACCAATTTAAAAAAAAAATCTAAAACTCATTTAAAACCTTATATACAGATCATTTTTACAGGAAGCATCTCTAGTTTATATTGTACTCAAGGAAAATGAAGTATAGGGTTCAATTCACTAGAATTCATGAGATTGACCAGCTAAATTATTTAGAGTAAATGCTTCTAAGCAAGACAGGAAATTGTATTGGGTCATGTCGATTTAAAAAATCCTAAATATCAAGTAAAATCTCATATTCAAATCACTGTTAATGGAAGTCTACTTGGAAAAAATTAGAACCATCACAAAAAGTGTGAAAGATGTCAACAAAATACAAAAGGCCAGCAATTAATTTACTGAAGAAAACTGCACAGGAACACAATTAATATTGTGATTTTAGCATGGAACATAATTGCAAAGATATTCCAAATCTTCCCTCAACTAATGACCATCTAAATGTAACAATGTTAAAAGTATTATCCTTCATGATGCGTTTATATTAGCATATGTACAAGTCAATGCATCATTTTTTAATCAAATTATAGCATAAAAGTTATAAGAAAATGGCTGACCAAAAGGTCCCAATATGATTGTGCTAGCTTCCGATGAACCAATCAAATGACAGTGGCTAGTGAACATTCCAAATTTTTTAGTACTAGTGCCATACTACTGGTGCTTTTTCAAGTAAAACTAAAAGTGGCAAACGCAACATTTCATGGCATTCAATACGACACTTGCCATGGTATCAAACAACAGAAACGTAAATGTTTAGCACAATAGCAATTAATACCCATATGCAACTATGGGTTTTCCCAGAACATGCTTCGAGTAAGATAGCCTAAGCTGGCACTTGAAATAATAATAAATCATTCAACCTTAAATTAAACCCATGTCCATGCGCAACTTCCATAACAATATTGCAATTGCAAAATTATACAATGATAACAAATTCCAACCACCAGTTTCAGAAAAGTAGTCGATGAGGGTATATTCTAAAGCCATGATCTTTAAAAAAGTAAGATGCCATGCATAAATACATACGTATCCTTACATTAAGTAATTCTGAATATTTTGCAGATTCCTCTCTTGCTGCAGCCAATTCTCTTCCAAAACGCTCCTAAAATTATGAAGAAGTCAAAGATTAGTAACTGTACTCCAGTTTCCAGTTTAAAGTACATCAGGTCTTCTCAGGTTTCTAATATTACGCCTGAAAAATCAAGAAAGAAGCATAAGATATTGAATCTAACCTTGGCTTCACTTTCAGCATAGTATTGCCCTAGGGCAGTTTGAAGATTTTGGAGTTCAACATTCTTTGCATCAATTATGCTTATAAAATTAGCAAGCTTTTGCTTCAGTTCCTTAATGGTTTCATTTGATTGATGCAGTTCATCACTTTTTAGCTTCTTTAACTCCTCCCTCCTTGTTCTTTCCTGCAGCAAAGCATTCTCCAACTGCAAAATTTGAGCCCTCTGATATTCAATCCTTGTCTTCAGTTCTTCAATCATCTTGCAGTCCTCATCCATCTTGTCCTCATCTTCAAGTTCCTAGACAATATCGTAGTAGAAGAAACCATCTTCAATTGACTGCAGAATGTTTGAAGAGAAAAACTTCCCTTAAGCGTAAAACCAAATGCAGAAAGCATTAGGATGCATACTTGATAAATGGAGGTTGAAAATATTTGAAGTAAAACTTCTGGAACAATAAATTAAAGAGAAAAATATATAAACATGCTTGTGCTCATACTAAGAAGAATAAAAATGATGATGATGATCAACACCGTTTATTGGTTGGAGAAGAAATTCTACAGGAAGACCATTCAATGTTTTCTCACACAGGAGGCTCTATGCAGCTAACTCCTGCATTTATTTAACATTATGAATGCCTAATTGAGTGAAGTTTTTAGAGCGGCTTATGCATCATGTAAGATGAGGGGTGTAAACGAGTAAAGTCAATGCATGAGCTAGCTCGAGCATAACTCAATAAATGACTCGTGGACATGCTCAATGAGCTAAAGAGCCAAGTTTGAACCAAGTCCGATTCAAATCTTTGGCTCGCAAGCCAACTTGTTTAAAAATATAAATATAAAATACAATTAAAATACATTAAAATTTAAGAGTTTAAGTATAAAGTTGTTAAAAATATTTAAAATTATATTTCACTTTCTTATGTCAAGTGATTTTTTATTATTTCTCGTCTAATTTCTAATTCTTTTTTACATTTTAATTAAATAATTTCTTGAATTTGAATCATAATCATTTTTACTCTTTTATAATAAATGAGCCAACTCATGAGATGACTGAATCTCATAGAAATAAGCTATAGCATGAGCTCAAACTCGATTAATTAATCAAGCTCAAGCTAAGGGTGACTCGAGCTCGGATCAACTAGCTTACACTCCTATATAAAGATTATATAGCTGTCAAATGACAATCATATCAAATTATGAATTACTAAACTGAATGCATTATGATAGAATTGTGAACTAATTGGGGCAACGTGAGGTGTACGCCAAAAAAAAAGGATATAAGGCTATACTGATTTGTATAAGGCTATCCTGATTTGATGCAGTCCAACTTTTTGTGGTTCTTTGCAATCCCAATCTTAAAAAGAGAATATAGAAAACCCTGCAGCTCAACAATCAACAAGATCATACAGAACACTGACTTGAATCTCGTGGTCACAACAACCATTATCTCATCCCCTTCTCATAAATTATATTAGAAATCACTTTTCTTTATTAGATTTAAATGAGAATTTGACTCTTAACATGACACAACGGAGAAAAAAGATTCATGTAGCCAACCACACGTAGTGAGATAAAGACTTGATGTTGTTGTTGTTGTTATAGAACAAAACAGCCAGTCATTTTCCTCTCTCCCTTTTACATGCATCTATTTAAATTTTTATCGCGAGTAACTGCCGACATATGACAACAAACTTGGTGCTCTATTTTCCTGCACTGTTTCTCCCCTTTTGCCAGCTTCTTCCAGGACGTAATCCCGATCTGCAAATAAGTTTTGTTGTCACTATTACACAACTGTTGTGCTGTTTCTCTTATCCTATATTGCTACTTTAAATTTCAGCTTGCCTCCCTTCTCATATGATATGCTCTAGGAGGTTTTTTAGGCTTGTAAGACGACTATCTCCATTTCAATTAGCAACAGGCATTATCTTTAATTAAGAATGAAATCTATGAAATTGAGACAACACTTATATGTTTTTGACCCCCGTGCTGTTTTCATGAGTACAAACACTTACAATGCTTTTACACTAATCCTTTTACTAACAAGAAGGTCTATCAAATCATGCCAAGATAAAATCCAAATTTCACCTGAGTTCTTCATCAAGATTAATTTTCTTGCTTTGTTGGCTACTTTAATTTTTAGATTTCTTTTTGTGTTTTGAGATTTGTTTAACTAAAAATTCACTAAAAATCAACCATGCTCACCAGCTTGCAATAGGTTTAAATATCCAAAGGTTGAAAAGCAGTTCCAGTGAAAATAGCCATCATGGATCTCCATGCATTTGAAAGTCAAGTTCAGACAGACTTGACATATACAACCATAACAAACTGCTATGGTTCTCTCTAAAACACAAGGCATGAAGTTGACATGAACATGAATGGTCAAACCTAACTAATGAAAAAGGATGTAGCAAATTGGCATTTATGAGATTTTTTTTTAATGTCCATTTCATGTTGTTAATTACAGAACCTTCTAAAAGACCCAGGTAGGCTTTCTACATCTCCCTTGATGATTGAAATGACATCTATGGTTTGTAAAAAAAATTTATTTGGCTAGCTCATCAGAGCCTTATGGTTAGTAGCACTGACAATTATGTTCAAAATTGCGCCAATTTACATTGGAATTTAAGCAACTTAAAATTGAAATCAATATGCTCTGCTTGATGATGGATAGCTCAAAATAAGTTCAATTTAATTCGAAATCAACTTGATGTACGACATGCAAATGCATATAAACATTCACAATTGCATTATATATATATAAGCATTTTTATTTAATATATTTGAAAATACATCTTTATAAACATACTTTGAATACTTTTATACATATGGCAACCATTAATTAAAAAATCCATTAAATTAAAAGATTTCTTTCAAATCAACTTGAAATTGGATGTGGTTGACTTGACTTGAACATGGCTTGAGTCAAACTTGAAATATTCAATTAAGAATTTAGCTAGGCTCACACGTACTCAACTCGATATCACCCTAATTGTTAGCAACCTAACCTAGGTATTGTTCTTACACAACAGCACATAAATTTATTAAAATATTCATATCGCTGCTTCATATAAATCTTGGCAGGAGTATCAAGCTTCCCAATTTTTCTAAATGCTCCCATAGGTTCCTTCCAAATCAAGAAGATTAGAAAAGTTAAAATCATTTTTATTCACATAAGCCTTATAGCTAGTAGAGCTGGTAATGATGTTTGAAACTCAATACTCCCTAGATAATTGCTCAAATCAAATCGACTTCAAATCAAAACTGATATGCTTTGACTCAATTATAGCTTGCTTGGAATGAGTTCAACTCAATTTAAAATCAATTCAATATATGATATTTGCATATATTTATGTGTTTGTTAATACATATATGCACATACGTGTCTTTTTATATAATATATTTTTTATGAGAACTTTATAAATATATTTTTTAATACTTTCATATGCATAATAACCATCAATTGAAAACAAAATGTATTACCAAATTAATAGACTCTAATCAAATCAATTCGAAATTGGACAAGTTGACTTAACTGAAAGTTAGCTCAAGTTGAAATCGAAATATTTGACTATGAATATAGACAAGCTTGCACAAGCTCAGCTCTATATCTTCGCTAATGATTAGAAACCTTACCTAAATATTATTTTCAACCAAAAAACCCCATAAATGAATTGAAAAATTTTCACTTCATACAAGTCTTAAGAGAAGAATCAAGCCTCCTTGCATATCTAGAGATTAGAAAAGCTAAAATCATTTTTATTCACTTAAGTTTTTGAAAACATGATACCCCCCTGTGCCCGCTTCACCCTTCATTTTGAACGACCATACTAGGTATCTTTGCTTATTTGTAATCTCATTCACAAGCAACTCTCCTTCAAGTTTTCTATGGCCTTCATTTGTTCCTCATCCTCAAAAAAAAAAAAAAAAAAAAAAAAAAAGAGTTCAAAAGCTTCTCTAGTTCACTTTCTTGCAGAGATTTCTTGCAAAATTGTTTAATGTTTTTGTTCAAGCTTTTATTCTTCAATTTTTACATATATTGTTGTTGGCAGTTTATGAAGAAGAAGTTTTTGTTGCATGACATTTTACCAGTGTGTAGCGTTCCTTATTTTAATATCATTAAGATTTCTTACTTTTAACTAAACTAGTTAACAAAAACACTTGTTCTCTTCCTACTCGCTTAGTTGCTTGCAAAGGTTATTTTTTAACATTGAAAGGATAAGCTGTAAAGATGGATATTGATCCGGGAGAAAAATTGTACTTCCCTTCTCTAGTTTGCTTTCTTCTGGAATTTTCTTGCTAAGCTGTTTTCTGTTTTGTTCAATTTCTTATAATTTACGCAATTTTTACATGTACTATTTTTGACATCTTTACGCTTAAGAAACTTTTGCTGCTTGATATTAACTAGTGTGTAGTGCTTGTCATTATAATATCATTAAGATCTCTTAATTTTAACTAAACAAGTTCGTCAAACATTAGTTCTCTTCTTACTCAATTGTGAAGATTATTCTTTAACATAAAAAAAAATAAGGCCTGATATGATCCTGAGGAAAATTTTTAGTTACTTCTTTAACCGTTAAGAAGTGTGGGGAATGTGTGGTGGATGTCTACTTCACCCGTTAAGAAGCAATTTTTAGTGGATAATTTTGGTAAGGGAACTTGGAGAGTGAATATCGGATTGCTAGATGAGATATACTACAATAAATTTAGGTGTTCGTTATTTATTGATTTTTTTTTCTTCCTCAGACAATTTTGAGCTTCTCACTGTACTCCTTTCTCTTGATATGTACTGTGATTTCATTGCAGAAACTGGTTTACTAGGTTTTTCAAAGCACATACTTCTTGTCAGGAGTAGCAGCAAACTTTTTAATCTAATTCATCAGTTCCACTTTGAATATGTTTGACGGAAGCTCACAGATAATCCAGTTTTTTAACATTTTTGCAGGAAGACAAGTTGTTTCACACAGGAACCTTCTCAGACACCTAAATTATGCTTGACCAACCACCCAGAAACGAAGATAGGCAGCATGAACAACTAAGCATTGCTCCAACTGATTGAAATTCATCCATAAATATAAAACAAAGATGATAACAAACCATTAGCAGTAACAGCAATTCACTTTTCAGTTTCAGATGCACTTAACGAGTTTGGAAGATAAGTGCAGAGCAAGTTAGTTCTCGTATTCAATTCTTGCACAAAATTGACAATTACTAATGCCATATCATCGATTCAACCCTTCACCTTCTTAAAAGCTTAGGTAACCGAAATATTATGGAGACAAAACAAGATGGCTCGAATGTAGAATTGACAAACTTATCTTTTAATCAAGTACGAACATAGTTAACCATATATTAGTTTATCAGAAATCAAAGTCTAGTCTCAGATATACACAAAATTAAGCTGCCTGGAAATAATAAACCAAAAAATTTTAAGTTGTCCAGCAAGTTACCAAGAACAAGACAAGAAATTTACAACTCTAATAACCGTCCACATATTGCACAGTTTTGAAGATTTAAGTTTTCAAACCATAAATCATAAGATTTTACTTGAGTGGCCTTTCAATCCATTTTAAAATAAAGAGGACCACCAGAGAAAAAAAAAGGCCTCTTTGCAACAACAATAACATCAAATCTTTATCCAACTACATGGGATTAGCTACATGAATCCTTTTTCTCCATTGTATCGTATTAAAAGTTAAATTTTTATTTAAATCTAATAAAAAAGAATCATTTATAATACTTTCTAACCAAGCCTTTTTATGTCCGTCTCTACCTTCGTAACATAAGTCACAAATACATCTACTCTCCTAATCAAATTATCGAAAGACTGACACTTTATGTCACCAAACCATCTAAAGTGACTCTTTGTAATCTTATCTGTCACTAAAGATGCTCCAACATTTTTGCATATATTACTCATTTCACATTCTATCTCCAAGTGTGAAACCACTCATTTGCCTAAGCGTCCTTATCTCTGCAATACTTAACTTAATTTTATGTTTTTCTTTTAATGGCCAACATTCTGAGCCATAAAGCATTATAGGTCTCACCACAATCCTATAAAGTTTTCACTTAAATTTGAGGGTGTACTTTTCTATCACACAATAGGCCTCTTAGCAAATGAAAAAAACCCATTTTTTTCTTTCACCTTAAAGAAACAAATAATATAATCAATTGCACCATATGTACGCCGATGAGCGAATTAGCTTGTAAGTAACAAACTTGAAATAAGAATGATAGAAACTAGGAAACAAAAGAGAAACATACCTTATCCAATAAGTGCTGCTTCAAACGAGACAATTCCTGTAAAGCTTTATCCCGTTCTTTACATGTCTCTTTCAGTATTTCCTCCAACTCTCTAACTTTTGATGTCATCTTTACCTTCAAATCCAAAAGTATACTGAACTTCATCAACGTATACAAATGCTATCGAAAAAAACCAATCACTGGTATTCCTTTCTCTAAATGCCAAAAAAAATATGCTCCGTGCCTCTATCCTACACTCATTCAAACTAAAAAGAAATTATTGGACTATCAATTTCACAATATCCATAAGTTGCAGAAAAAAGTTAATATATATGTTGTGCAGTAACAAAAAAGAAAAATTTTAATGGATTCAACATAACAAAAGCATATGAACGATCATTTAACACAACAAACTAGGCTTACCGCATTCTGTTCACTTTTGCTTGCATTTAGTAAATCTGAGCCATCATCGTCATCCTTTTCTCGTTTATTGTTCAGAAAAGAATTTAGCTTTTTTTCAAGTTCATTCTTTTCAGTCTGTACGCAAAAAAAAAATCTCAAGCTATTTGCACATGGAAGTAGTGAAGACATTCAAGCTTCAGCTAAAAAATTGAAAAGAAAGATAAGTAAATCAATACAAAAAACATTAAAAATCAACGTCACGTCAATCACTATAGGATGTTCAATGGAAATCTTCGCCAAGAAAGAAATTAACATATATTTACCGTTACTTCAAGCTTTTCCTTTTCTAGTCTCTGCATTGCTAATTTCAAACTGTCCACTGATTCATTTTGTTCTAATTCTAAATCCTTTTTGCTCACTTCCGCTTGCAGCCTTCTTAATTCTGATAAACTCCTATCTAGTTCTTCCTGTAATTCTTTTGTCTCTGAAACCTGTCAATCAAACTCCATGGCTCTTATAACAAAGAGAGCAAACAAATAAAAGATTGGATATGTTACTTCCAATAAAGCCATGATAAAGTGTATAAAAGGATGATATCGAAAAAATCTTGAACAATGCGTGCTACTGAATGGCTGTCTGTTGCAAATGCAACTCATATTATGCCCAACAAAAGACTTGTGCAATAGAAACCAAATAAGCATCCAAGAACTTTGACCGTATCACATAAACTTAGAGGAAATGGTAAAAGAAAAAAGGTACTTGATAAAGATATAAATCAAATGAATATAGAATCACGTTAATAATTCAAATATCCATTCCAATAAATAAAAATGATCCAATAATATTATGTGAGAATTTATGATACACTGATATGAACATGAAAATACAAACACAACACAACACAAACACATGACATACTTATCATTGAAAATATAGGATAAAGATATGCCTTTGACTTGAAATTATATATACTATGTAGCAATTGTTCAAATTAAGTATACTTGAAATGAGCAATAAAATTTTAATAAGAACACAGGGCAAACCTATTATTGAAATGTGGGCTCTCTTGTGAAGGGGAAACATCTGAAGGAAACTAGGAGTTAAGTATTTAAACTTAGTCATTCAAAGACATGCATATTTGATGTTTTTTTTTTATTTTTTGAATTACACATATGGATAGCATGTCGCATGCATGTCCATATCCTAAACGTGTTGGACACTGCATATTGCTTTACAATAAAGTGTCAATACATCATAGGTAAGAATTTATGCAACCATATAAAAAAGCGCAAGTGATTCACGAATATGCCAATTTTACAAAAAGGGCCCTAATTAATTGAAAAATCTGTTAGTGATAACAAAATAGCTGGGTAAAAAAAAATGTCAACTCTAACTGTCTGCAAAAGATAAAAACCTACCTTTTCCATATCTGTTTTTAAATTACAGAGTTCTCTATGAGAAGCCTCGTTACGTTCGTGTTCCTCTGGTAAAATTCAGGTCACATGAAAAAGAATTAGATAGAACCTCTGGTTAATAACAAGGTAAAGCAGAACTTATGATTACCATGCAACTTGATCTTTAAGAGTGATGCATTTGCTCGCTCTTTGTCGAGCTGTTCCGTTAGCAGTTTCACTTCAGCCTGATGATCAGCCTGCGCAGCTTTTAGAGATTTGACTTCTTCCAGCAATTTTTCACGTTCCTAAAACATTTCATAAACTGTTCCAGATTATATCACCAGTCATTTAATGTATAAAGTATGAAGTTGTCTGTGACAGGAAAAAGTTGTATGTAGAATGGATCAAAGATACTTAGAATAGAATAATTATTCAAGTTTTGCATATATTTTTAAGGAATGTATATGTGCCTATCCATGCGTTGCATGTTTCTTATCATTATTTTATTCTATGAAGCTACTATTGTTAGTAAACCAAGCTGAGCTTCTAGCATAGGAAAACAAGATTGAATACCTTATAAAGCAATTCAGAATTTGCAGATTCTACCACCGGATTTTGGAGTGCACTCCCATAGTCGAATCCATTTTGCTTCTTAGAAACGGAATTTCCCAGTGCATGGTTTCCAGAGTGAGAGTTTTCTCGAGTCCTAGCCTTTCGAGGTTTGAGGGAGACACGATCCAAATCACCCTGTAAGACTTACATTCTAAGGAATGGAAAAAAAAAATCATGGTAAAAGAGTACTTTACTAAGATAGAAAGACCATTGGAGGTTTTAAAACACAATCAGAGAGCAGAAGAATGATCCATGTCCTAAGATAACTGGAAAATGCAAACCAAAAGAGTTACAACTTCAGAAATAAAATCAATAAGCTATCTATAGCACCTAATATTCAATTTCATCATAAATGAAAATCATAGCATAATATACCTTAACTTCCATTTCAAATAAAATATCTAGTTGCTTGGACCATTAACTTTCGTATTGGATAAGACTGAGGCAAGCATTGCCTTCATCATCTTCATGAGACTGAATCTTTCTATTTCCATACTCCATTTATTCATTGTTAATAAAAAAAGATGGATTTTGTGTCCATTACAGTGATACTAAATGATTTCAAAAGATTTCAGCATACAGTCTTCTTTCAAAGGTTTTTAAAATGCTTCTTTCCCCTTAACTTTTCCTTTGCTCCTTATTTGGGTGTTACTGTCATAAATAACTCCAGGTTTTCACTGAATGTCAAGTGAAGCAGGTAAAAAAACACTCCTCAAACAGGAACAAATGTTTTTTATATGTAAAGCATTTCCATATAGAGACGGACAAAGGAAATACGAAATTGGGAGATTTATGCATAAGCCACCAAAATCTATACCATTTACAAAACTGCCACCCATCTAAAAAATTAACCAACAAATATATGCATTTATGAAATTGGGTGAAATTTTGACAAAAACAAAAAAATAAGGATTAGATTATTTTAGTGAATTTAGATAATTGAGTGAAAATCTGATGAATGGAATTTGAGAGGTATTTATGAAATTGCCTTGAAACAAGGGCAGTGGGAACTTGGCAAAAAAAATATGGGTTGAATTTTTATAGTGAATTTTGATATTTGATTGCAAATTTGACGAATAGAGATATGAGGGTGTTAGTTTTGTAAATAACCAAGATTTAACATGTATGAAATTTCCTCAAAATAGGTAGATTTAAATTGAAATCTGATTGGACATATCTAACAATGCTCTGTATGTTAAGGAAATAATTGTTCAATATAGTTTGTTAACATTTTACCAACCAACATAATACCCCATGCCAAAGTCCATTCAAGGAAATTAGGCAAAGTTGCACTTATAAAATCTAGCAAGGCCATTTGGTGTGCCTAAGACTGTAAGAAATACAATTTAGGAAGCCACTTTTTCATATTCCTCCAATCTATAAAGATTATAAACAAGAATTGCATGATATTTTACTATATAAAAGTGTTTTGAGACAAAAATATATTCCAACCAAAACTCTCTACTCAACAATAGATTCAGCCAAAGTCTCCAACTTATCAACAATTGGTTTGAGATGGCTTTATGTGCTCTCCATCTCTTCATAATTTATTCTAGTCTAGATCTTGATGTGGTGACTTCAAGGTCTCAAGAGCCAACAATTTTTTAAGGAGTGAATATAGGAATTAGTTAGCTACTCTCTTGATTAGTTCTTAGTTTCTTTGAATTTGAATGAAATTCTAAATGTTTCTTGGAACTCTTTAGACTTATATCAAGTTTGTAATCTAAAATAAAGTTTTAATAAAATGAAAATTGAAATATATATATGATAGGAAACACTTGGATTCCCAAGTGTTTCTCACCAAAACTGAAGTAGATCCGATGTTTACTGCTGTCCTCAGCAGAAAAACACAGCAAATCTGCTGTTTACAGCAGTTTACAGCAGAAATTCAGAGGAAAATGGAAAGAAAACTCAAAGCAAGATTTGTATTCCACTAGTAGAAGAAGAAAACAGCAAAGATACAATTGATCCTCAATTCGAGAGGATGATCGATCTCTCCCAAATCTCTAGGCGCCGCTAGAGCCCAAAGAAAACCTAAATCTAAGAGATCTCAAATTTCAACCAAATTCAAGAAACTCAAACCCTAGGAAAAACATCTATTTAATGCATACAAATCAAAAGGAATTCCCTAAACAGTCCGTACGTTCAAATTTCCCTCTCAAAAAGCTAAAAAAAAACTTCCTAAACTGTCCCGCAAGCCGAGCGGTGCGCGCGGCCTCCGCCCAGGCGAAACAAATCGCCTGTTTCGCGACTCGGCCGGTTCCGTGCGGACCGGCTGGACCGGTCCACTGGACCGGTCTAACACGATCTTATGCGAATCAATTACTTTAGATGATACCTTTGAACCAGGAAGAATAAGAGCGGCAGGTTGAGAAACAATGGCAGAATTCTGGCCGCTAGTTGCCGGACAGTCTGCCGTCATGATTGAAAATTCTGTCAAGCGACGAAATACAAAAATTTGAAATTTTCTCTCACTAGAAACCAGGATCTTCTCTCACTAGAACTTCTCAGTGCTTTTTATTTAGTGAGAAAATTGTAGGTCTAGTAAGTGGCTTTGTGGCAATTCTATTTCTTATTTCTTCTTTAGTTTGCAGTCATAGAATAATCAAGTGGTTAGAAGTTCTACAATAAGACCTGCGGAAAAATGTGTTATCATCTCATGTTGTGCACTCAAGAAGATTGAATAGAAAATAAGGATTCATGAGTCCAAATGTAATTTTTTATTTTGAGGCCAATAACTATGTTGAAGATGATGGTTATTAGTGAAACTTTTCAATCTAGGGGCGGCCTATGTTTCTTTAGGAGAAAAAAGTGATGGAACAAGATTGAATTTAAAAACTATCTTTATAGTTACTAATATGTGGATAGCTTCAAGCATATTACTTCACTTCGTAAAACAATATTGGATAGTTCAGCATTGTTGGTTCTGTGTGATTGTTGTTACATCAAGTTACATAAATATCATGTTAGAAAATTGTGTTGTTTGCTACTGTTTTTCCACAAACCGAAATTGTTGTATGGCAGGTGTTTGAAAAACTCAGAATCATCATATTGCCAAACAAAGCCTCAGTCGTCTTCTTGGAGCTCAAATTTGTTTTGGGAGCCTTTTGTCCCATCATTTTCTGAGCTTGGTAATATCACCTAGGCCTGATCTTGTATTGAATCATTTATTTGATAACATTTGTGCAATGTTCTCAAAATAAAAAAGTTCTTTATTGTGAAATTGTCATATTCCCATACATTGTTATAACAATCTCTGTTTACCCATGTTGCTTGTCAAACAAAACATAACAATCGTGATTAATTTATGAATAGCTAATTAATCTAATCTTTTTTGGCACTAATCTGAGCAGGGACTAGCCCTTTTATCTTTGTCGTCTTGGATTTTATTGGTGAATCCTTCTGGATGTGGTGATGGGAAACTGGAATGCGAACCAGTTTCAGCTCTTGGAACTGCTATCTTTTATATATCAATATATCTAATTGCATTTGGCAATGGGGGATATCAGCCCACAATAGCTACATTTGGATCAGACCAGTTTGATGAGATGAACCCTTCAGAAAGTGATTCAAAGGCAGCCTTTTTCAGTTACTTTTATGTTGCTCTTAATGCAGGTTCTCTCTTCTCCAACACAATCTTAGTGTACTATGAGGACTCTGGACAGTGGGTTATTGGATTTTGGACATCAACTGGTGCCGCTGTTATTGCTTTTCTTCTTTTCTTACTTGGAACTCCAAGATACAGGCATTTCAAGGCATCAGGCAACCCCTTGACTCGCATTGCACAAGTCTTTGTTGCTGCGGCTAGAAAGTGGAATGTTAGTGTTCCTGAGAATGACGCCTTGCTTTATGAAGTGGAAGGAAAGGAATCTGCCATTGCAGGGAGTAGAAAGATCTCCCACAAAATCGGCTTTCAATTGGCCGACTTCGCCTTCCAAGATGTCAACCTTCTTTCCGGCCATCTTTCTTCCCAATGGATCTCAAAAATATCACTTCCGGAAGCCAAAAGCTCGCTGAAAAATCAGGATTTCAGCCGCCTAAGGTCCCAAAAACGATGCTCTGATACCAATTTGATAGGAAACACTTGCGTTCGCAAGTAACCTAACCAAAATCGGCGAACATTCAACAGCAAAACTGCTGTCCACAGCAGGAAAACAGCATAAATCTGTTGTTTACAGCAGAAAAACACAAATACCACAAGGAAATCTGAGAGAAAACTCAAAGAAAAGCTTGTATTTCACTAGAAGATGAATAAAATAGCAAGATACAATTGATCCTCAATTCGAGAGGAGGATCGATCTCTCCCAAATCTCTAGACGCCGCTAGAGCCCAAAGAAAACCTAACTCTATGAGATCTCAAATTTCAGCCAAATTCAAGATGCCCAAACCCTAGGAAAAACAACTATTTAATGCATACAAATCAAAAGGAAATCCCTAAACAGACCCTACATTCAAATTTCCCTCTCAAAACGCTAAAAAACGCTTCCTAAAATGCTCTAATGGGCTGGTCGGGCCGCTCGATCTCCGCAGGAGGCGGAGATCTCTGCCTGTTTCGTGATTTTGGCCCGTGAACCGGTCCCGCCTGGACCGGCTGGACCGGTTCAGTGGACCGGTCTAGCATCTTTCTATCCAGTTCTTGGATTGTTGTTTCCAACTGCTGTCTCCTTCTTCATGCAACTAAAAGAAAAAAGAGTTCATTCAATGTTTAAGGCAAAGAGGTAGGGGAAAGTCCATTGTATTTCAAATTATACCATAGAATTATTAAGCCCTTATCCAAGATGCTTCTTATTAGTTCCATAAGCCTTCAACATCACGATTTCATATCATAATGAGATGTTCATTTACTTGTTTGATAACTATTTTCATCTTTTGGCCAACTTAAGTGCAACTAATGGTCAATGAAATTAAAATGAATAGAGGCACATGTTGTACTTAGAGAAATGGATTTGAAAGATTGCAATCTATGCTAAATTTTATTGTTTTAGCAATCCTTAAACACATTAGGTACCACACATTATACAATTTCAAAAAGGGTAGACCTCAGATAATATGGAAATTGCTCAAAATAATTTATAAGGAATAGGATTAACATCTCAAGCAACATTAAGTAGGAATGAATAGAAAACAATAGCATCCAATAGTTGGGATGTGCTAGCAAGTGCTTAACATGAATACTGATGAATAGGAGAAATATTATGGATATTATAAATATGATACATATATTGCACTTGATCTTTGTTTAGTATTGTTTGAGATCATCTAAGAATAATTCAGTTTAAATAAATTCTACTTAATGTATATTGAGTGCTATGCTTTAATTTGGAAACAGGTATAGATATGTAGGACAATTTAATTATTTTTTCTTTTAATGGACTTCGACTATAGCCGTGGCCAATCATGGTATAATTTCAACGTCAAATCAATCACAACTTTATAATTTATTACTTCGTCCAACTTTCAGGTTATAAGTATGACAATTACTCCTACTTTTTATTTTATTTCATTATTTCTTCTTTGTGCATTGGTATTAATTTTTATCCTTATATGTTTTTTTTATATATTTTGATACATGGGTTATATGTGACATTTCAATGGATGTCGAAATATGGAGCATTATGTTAGACCGGTCCAGCCGGTCCGCACGGGACCGGTCGAGTCGCGAAACAGGCGACTGGTTTCGCCTGAGCGGAAGCCGCACGCATGCACGCCGCCGATTCAGCCGCATGCCCGAATAGGAAGGTTTTTGAATGGATTTTAGGAGGGAAATTGATTGTAGGGATTGTTTAGGGAATTCCTTTTGAATTGTATACATTAAATAATAGAATTTCCTAGGGTTTGAGCATCTTGAATTTGGTTTAATTATTTTTTGTTTTAATGGACTTCGACTATAGCCGTGGCCAATCATGGTATAATTTCAACGTCAAATCAATCACAACTTTATAATTTATTACTTCGTCCAACTTTCAGGTTATAAGTATGACAATTACTCCTACTTTTTATTTTATTTCATTATTTCTTCTTTGTGCATTGGTATTAATTTTTATCCTTATATGTTTTTTTTTTTTATATATTTTGATACATGGGTTATATGTGACATTTCAATGGATGTCGAAATATGGAGCATTATAGCATAACAAATCCACAAATGATAAAAGTTTTTTTTTTTTTTTTCAATCTTGTAGATTCATAAGTTGTGACATTTTTTGTACTATTATGTAATAATGTAAAAGTTTTGTGAGTAATTTTGTAAAAAAATTTAGCAATTTTAATAATTTAAGCTAAAATAATTTTGTATACAATATATCGCTCATATTTAATAATATGAAACTTGCATTTTAAGTCAATTAAAAATACACTTAGGGGTTGTTTGACAACAAGTAGGATTTAACTCAAGTACAAATCCTATAAATCCGGATTTATCAAATCCTGAGAGTGTTAAATTCTTAAAATTGTTTGGCAAAAAAGAATTTAAATCCTCATAAATCTTGTAAAACTGTTTAGCGACGTAACTCAGAATTTAAAGCCGTTAATTCATTGAAAACTCATATTTACGTTTTAAATATTAGTTGCATATTAATTCCAATCTGAATTAACCTCAACAAGTTAAATTTATAAATTATATAATTAGAAGAAAGCATGATTATCCAATGACTTAACTGATGATTTAATTACTAATTGCAATAATAATTATCTAATTACTTATGTAGGTGTTTTTTCAAAAAGTATTTGAATACTAATACACTGATAATTATCTAATTAATTATTATTTAAATTAACTAATTATTTTTTAATTAATTATTTATTTAATTACTACTTAAACTAATAATTATTTGATTAATTTTTAAATATCATTTTAATATGTTTTTAATTACAAATTATCTAATAAATCAATTTTTTATTCTTAATTAATTATTTAATTAATATTTCACCACTAATTACATAATTATTTATTAATATTTCAAATTATATTGATTAAGCTAATTAGATTAATTCCTGGTTAAGAATAAGGGGTTTTTCTCTGCCATTATCTGGAGGTATTAATTCCTTAGGCCTATCTAGGGTTTGCTTTTCCTCTTATGTATTTCTTCGTTGTTGTTCAATTTCACCTACATTGCTGAGATATAGTTTTGAACGAGTCACTAAAACTTCTTCACCTCCTTCAAAAAAATTCTCTTTCTTTTGTATCAGAGGTCACGCAGTTCGATAATATTCTTCCTGTTGGATAAGAAGTACACTAGTAGTGATGGGGGCTTGTTGAGAAGGTAACCATCTTTCTCTCCTTTCGTGCGCTTCTTCGGCCAAATCCTATAAATCTGCCAAACTCCTAGATTTGATGAATCTGAGATTTATGGCAAAAAAGGAAAACAAAGGATTTATTTCACCGTGAGATTTGAAGATGTCATCAAATCCCATTTGGCAGGATTTGTGTTAATCCTGCGCAAATCTTGAGTAGATTCTATATCCAAACAAGCCCTTAATCTGACCCGTAGTCATTCATTTCAAATTGAGATGGTTCAACTTGAAATCTATTTCGAGAGCAGAGAAAAAATAAAAATTTTGAGATTAATTTAACTCAAAGTTGCTTGAACTCACCTCTATATCACTCATAACTGTAAATAATTACTTTCTTGATAATCACAATAACGTTGAAAACACCTTGCTAATAATTCAAATGATGACAGTTATCTGTGAAACTCAAACAGATGCATCCACACATGAAATAACATGCAATGCCGATAACTGCACAGTTCAGCATTATTTTTCTAATCAATGACCTTAATGTCAAGGCATTTCTTGAACTGGACGAATTAAATAAAGAATGGATTTCAGATTCCTTCAACAGTGAGAAACAAAGATAATGTCTACAAGTCCTTGGAATGTGATAGGGAAATGGCATGGAGGGGCTTGGCAATAAATTTTTTATAAGCTTAAATTACTTCAGACAATTGAATTAATTAAAACAAGAATGTAAAAAATTGCCTTGGGTGTAACAGAGTTATTTGACAGTGTTCTTGGACTCTCATCTTTTGATAAGCTTACATCATCTTTTCTATCCTCCAAACTTCTTCGTAACGAACCATTTTCTAGCTGCAAATCACGAAGTTGTTCCTGTCAAAGTTCAGGTAAATATTAGAAATACATGGCTAAAGCAACACTTGAAGCCTTTGTCCTCTAATAAAATCCAAGAACTCAAAGCCATTGAAGAAACTCAATAATGTATGCTCAAGATAAAGCCTTAAAGAAAAAATAATATTTTTTTAGGAAAGACTTTTTTTTCCTTTGGGGTGGGAGGGAAAGAAAAACATAAGAAGGATGAAACTAAATTATTAGAAACAGATATTTCCTAGGTTAGTTACAGCAGTTTACCCTAACTACCAAATTATAATATAAAGGAAAGTTAACTGAACAAGGCAGCAGCTTGTAGTGAGTTATTATAGCAGAGCAACCATTCTTATCTGAATAATCTTATATCGAAGTATCTATCAGCAATATATACAATAAAAAATACATGCAGAAAGCACTCTGAGAGTAGAAAGGGAATGCCATTATTAATACAGAAGGCATAATATAATTTTGGGACTAATAAATAAATAAATTCATATATAAATAATATATTCTATAATTTTAAATTTAAATATAAATAATTATTAATTTATGTCA